AATCTATGCATATTCTTTGACCCAGCAATAGCACCACTAGGTCTGTATCCCTTAGAGATCAAAGAAAAGGTAAATGAACTATTTATACAAAAATATTCATGCAGTTCTTTTTGTGAGGGCAAAGAATTGGAAGTCGAGAGGATGCCCATCAATTGGGAATGGCTGAACTAATTGTGGTATATGATTGGGAGGGAATACCACTGTGCTGTAAGACATGATAAGCAGGATGGTTTCAGAAAAACCTAGGAAAACTTATATGAACTGATGCAAAGTGAAGTGAGCAGAGGCAGGAGAACATTGTAGAGCAATGTTATAAGGATGATCAACTGAAAAAGGCTTAGCTACTCTGATCAAGACAATGATCTAAGACAATTCCAAAGAACCCATGATTAAAAATGGCATTCAACTCCAGAGTGCGAACTGGTAAACTATGAGTGCAGATTAACAATTTCTGGGGTTTTTTATTTTTTGTGGTTTTTGTTTTATTTTGCTTGTTTTTTCTTTATCAACATGGCTAATATGGAAATATGTTTGACATGACCTCGTATGTGTAATTGGAATCAACTTGCTTGCCTTCTTAAGAATGGAGTAGGCGTGAGAGGGAGGGAGAGAATTTGAAACTCAAAAATTTTCAAAATAATTGTTAAAAATTATTTTCCATGTAATTGGGAAATATGCAACGAAATAGATTTTTTTAAAAAATACTAGAGGAGTGGAGAAAAAGCTGTGACAGAGAGTGGTATTCAAAGAAGAAAACATTTCCTTCAGTTTCCTCATCTATAAAATGAGGGGATAAGACTCTAAGGTCCCTTCCAGCTCTAAATTTATGTTCCCAGGATTCTATGACTAGCTGGTAGCTATGTGCAATGGGATCTCAGAAGGACATAAACATTCTGTGGTGCTTCAGCTGTCAAGAATCTACAGAACTGGTAGCTAGGCTCTGAGCCATGGCCACAGGATTACTAAAGAGTCAAACATGGGAGAGTCTCCTAAATTTGGACTCAGTGCCCACACTGACATCTGGCTACCTGGCACATGGCTTTTCTGGGCAACTTCAGCTTCTCTCCCCGTGTCTCTGTGACACTGGGCCCAGAACAGTAGCCATCGGGGTTTCCCATCCTTCATACACACCAACATCCACACCCACACCCATTATCTTTGTGGAAACCTCCAGCTCTTGCCCTCTGTGATCTCATTCATTCAAAAACCCCATGAGACAGAGAAAAAGGGAACTGTCAGGACTCAAATGCCCCATTGGGTTTCAATCCCATTTTTAGACTGTGAGGCAATGATGTGGAGATGTTTTCACACCTCTTGGAAAGGAGAAACTGATGACTAAGTAAGATAGGAAGGTCTAGCATATAGTGGTGCTGCAAGCCCGTAGGGGTGCAGAATACTCAGTTCAGCAGCCAGAGACCCTACCTGATTATGTCATTCTTCACCTAGACCCAGATTCAGCCTTCTGTGAAACCCCATCCATTTGGAAAAGCTCCAGGGTAAGTCAATCAGGTAGGCTTGGGAAGACTTTCCCCTTTTTTCCTCTTCTAGAGAGCAAAGTGAAAAGGGCATTTTTATAGAGAGAGGTGTAAGTAGACTGTGGTCACCAGTCACAGCAGACCTAGCTCATGGGAAGGACATTCAGGTGGATACTGGTGTGTGGGAGGGAAAATGAAGTTAAGAGAGCAGGGAATTTGGCACTTAAGTGAGAGGAGGATTAGAGGTAAATTTTGTATTGTCCTGTCCAGGAATAGACCAGATTCCAGTTCTGAGGGGTCAGGAGGTACAAGATAAGATGACAAAGAAGACTAAAAGGTTGTGTACTTAAATATCCACAGATACTAAACTCAAAGGTGCCAACAAAGCTGAAGGAAGTCCAGGCAGAGAAGCAGACAATGACGGACAGCTAGCAGTGAAAGCAGGTGTAGGACAGGAGGCACAGAAATACAGAAGCCAGACCAATCTGTAGATTGGGAGTTAGAGTTCAGGGCCCAGAGAGTCTTGGCAAATAATGGGCACAAGAATTGAAAGGACAGGGTGTGAGGAGGGAGTGGCTACAAAGCTTGAGTTGTGTAAGTATAGCGGTTCCAACCAGAAAGAAGGGGTATAGGATGCTCAGGGATCCCTGAGCCAGGACAGAGCACAGGGCAAGGAAAAGGGATCTGATGTTGAGAATCTAAAAGAAGGAAGAATGTGATTTGAGCTGACGGAGATCATCTTAGACTGGGCTGCTCTAAGATCCAGGGGGCTGTATCTAAGGGAAATGGAGTCTAAAAGGACAGAACTCCCAGGCTGGGCTGAGAGAGGTATAAGATGAGATACAGGAAAGGAGAACAAGGAGGAGGAAGGAAGAGTCCAAGGATAGAGAGAAATGGCAGAAGATCATCTGATTGGCAATATTGATCAGAACGGAGTTTGGACACAGAAATTGAGGAATTGAGGGCATCAGGAAGATGAGGGTTATCAAGATACAAGAACTGAAAAGGTCATCGCCCATTTGCTGAAGAGGATATGGACATAGGAGCTAACAGGAATAGTGACATATGAGTTGAAGGAGTTAGGGATGGAAAAACTAAGTTAGTCATGGCATGAGAACTGAGTAAGGCCTGGATGCATGTCATGTCAGTACCAGAGGTACAGGGACGAAGAGCACAGGTCATTCGGAGATAGAAGGTACAAAGTCTCATCTAGAAAGGACCCTGAAGCTGAGGGAGCAAGTGGTCTTCAATTCAGCAGAGCTACCACCAGCTAAGGTGCAAAGGTTGTATAAGGGAAAAGGAAATGGCACAGATGATTCTGCAAGGTGCCACAGCAACCCAAGAAGCAGGATGCTCAGGAGCTGAACCTGCAGAATACAGTGGTACTAAGCCAAGGAAATGGAGTATGAACTAAAGGACCAGGTTTGAATGAGCTGGCAGAGGCTTCCTTGGCCAGGATGCTCTAGAGCCCGGGGGACTCGAAGTTTGACAAGGCAAAGTTTAGGAGATGAAGTGAGCTCTGAGGATAGCCATGAAGTTGGAAGAAGTAAGTCATAAATTCTGGCAGGCAGGTTTGAGGATTCAATGAGACTGGAACTAGAAGACAGAGCAAGGAGGTGCTAAGCAAGCTATAGGAATAGATGTATGGACTCAAAAGAGATGTAAGGGGGAGGGTAGGAGATGAATAGTTAACAGGAAGAAGCAAACATCAAGAACAAGAAATGAGCTATAAGAAACTGCAGGAGTAGAATAGATGCTGCAAGAACAAGGCTTAAAGTTGCAAGAGGTATGGGTTCTGGACCAGCAGAGCAGTGGAGCATGTACTTGTAAGAGTATTTGTGGGTCAAACTAGGAAAGAGTACAAGGCATGGAAGATGGAGCTGAAAAGCTGAACAAATACAGGGAGGGATGATGAGAGGAACAAATTATGAGCTGGCAAGAGGCCCAGGAACTAAATCCTAGGTGATTCAGAGTCTGACAGTGGCAGAGTTAAGGGTCTGGTCAGAAAGGAGTAAGAAGTGTCAGATGGAATAGGGGGTAAGTGAAGAGGTGAAAGGAGCTAACCCAAAGGAAACAATTGTTAGAAACTACAGAGGCCAAGAGAGGGTTATGGGCAGAAGAGATAAGGGTGAGGGAGGGGAAAGGGAAGAAGTAAAAGATACTGGGAAAACAAGGGAAAAGAAAACAGATGGTCACAAATGCAATGCCAAGGGAGACAGGAATACAAAACGAGCTAGCCATAGGCACAGAAACTGAGAACACCTGAATACCAGAAACTGAGAGGGCAGCCAGGGAGTCATGGAGAAAAGAAACTCAAGTATGGGAATTTGGTAGTACAAAGCTGCGCAAGGAATAGGAAAGAGACTAGATTCTATGGAGGGCTGATGAAGCAGTGTTCAGAAATAAGGCCTGAAGATCATGGAAATGCTGAAAAAGAAAAAAGCAGAGTGAAGGAGAAGTGGATGGAAAAGGGGACTCACAGAGTAAGCTATGAAAGGGAGTCTTTGCTTTAGGTGCTCAGATAAAGGAAACACAAGGTAGACAGAGCTTAGGAGTTGGGCTGGGAGAGAGGTGATATAACAAGGAGCACAGTATTTAGGAAACAGGCTTGAGGGGACATCTGAGATTAAAGAGGCAGAGCATTAAGATATAAGAAAGGCTATGGGAAGCAGATGTGAACTGTAAAAGGGACATAGGACTGAGCTCAAAGAAGACAGAAGAGAGGGAAGAACTCTGAAGTGCTGAACATGGAGCTAGCAGGAGGATGAAGGAGATGTAGATCCTGGGGTTAAGAGTGAGCCCAAGGCCGAAGGGGAGAAAATATTGAACCTAGAAAGGGGTAGGGATACCCTAAGAAGAACGGCAGTGACAAAGGAGTTAAAAGTCATATGGTGAAGTGCCTCAGCAGCCAGAATGAGCAGTAACATGAATTTGTAAGGATAAATGTATCCAGGACAATTCTGGCCACTGCACCCAGACCAGGCTGCTCCAGGACATAGGGACTGAGCACCAAAAAATTAATGTTCTGAGGCAGACAGAGCTCTAAGACCTGGCTGAGAAGGGTGTGAGGAATAGGGTTTAGGAGACACAGGATCTGACAGGGCAAGCCTCATATGGGAGCTGACATACAACCAGATCCAGAGTCTTAACTCAGGACAGGTCTTTCCTTTTCCTCCACTATCATTACTCCCAGCTTCTGAGAAGAGGAGGCCAGAGCTCATTGTGCAAAAATACCCCTAATATCAGCCTGTGAAAAACAATGTCCATCAGAATACGAAGCATAGCCCCCTCCCCCAAATTCCTTAATCTATCACCTCCCTGCAGCTTCTAGGCTCTGGACACCTCTTTCTGATTTCAAGTTCCATGTCCCTTTGATCAAGATTTCACCTCTTTAAAAATGTGGGCTAGAGACTATGGTGCAAAATTCCCCAAGCTCCATACCTCCCTAAGGATAGCACCAGGATAGAAAGGAGAGGGGAAGATGGGGAAAAGAAGTACAGATTTAATCAGAGCGGCTGAGCAGGCATGCAGGCAGGGGCCATAAGGAGTAAGAGTGCAGGGAATACAAATGGGAGCATGGAAGCCAGAACAGAGGAAAGGGGGATAACAAGGTCAAAATGGCACAGTATTAGGGGAGCAGGTCTGAGAGGACAAGGCTGAGAGGAACAGGAGTTCCAGAGTTGTTGAGAGGGGAGCAGAAACCCCGGAAGCCCCACAAAACCTAGAGGCAGTACCTGGTATGAACTGGCAGATAACAGAGCACAGGAAATGAGGGAAGGTTAATAGTAGTAACTAACATTTATACCATGCTTTAAAGTTTGCAAGCAAATTCAAGATAATGAGCACGATGGATATCATTATCACCTTTTCTTACAAATGAGAAAACTAAGACTCAGAGTGTGATGATGGTTACACAGCTTATCAGACAGGGTTTCAGTCTAGGTTTTCCTAATTACAATTCCAACTGTTCAATTTGCCACAATACTTCAAGACAAGGGTCAGGGGCCCAAAGCTGAAGAGGGCAAAGGACTGAGATGACAGAGGGAAGAATTGAATGATGAAAGGGCAAAGAGAACAGGACTGAGGGGCAGAACTGAGGGGTAAGGAAGTGACAAGCTGATAAGAAGAGTAATAAGATAAGATGGCAGGGAAACGAAAAGAAAAAGAATAAGGCTAAGGATGAAAGGGATCTGTTGATGATAAGAATGAGGCACAAGGCTAAGACAGTAGAATGCAGAAGGCAGAGTACTTGGAACTAAGAGGAAAAGACTCATTAATATCCTCCATTCCTGTGCCCTATCCCAGGAAAGATATAAGGAAACTCTGGTCTAAAGCTGCCATGTATCAGGTCCACACCTGACACTTTCCCCTGGTGAGATATGTTTCAAGCTCAGAACAAACACCAGCTCTTATGCCAGAACTAAGAGGATCACAGGCTTGAAATCTGGAAAAGACAATTTTAACTTAGTTTTAACATGCAGTTTTAATGTACATTTTACCAGTAAGGAGATAAGGATTCAAATCCAGGTGTTCCAAATCCTGCGTTCTTTCCATAAAACCACTGCTGCCTCCCACTGTAAGGGCTGAGAAAACTCCCAGGGCAGGAGAGGGGCAGCTTTTCCTCCCCAACTAGCCCACCAGAACATGTTACCACTGAAAGCCCTGCCAGCCAAATCACACAACAATGTGGCCATATTGGCCATCTCCTCTTCCCAGAAGAACTGACGAGAAAAAGATTAGTAGTAAAAGACTTCTCTACAAGAATAGGAGGACCCTAATGATTATGTTCCAGGTCACACAGCTCCTGGTAGTCAGTGGGACAGTAATACCTGAAGGAAGGAAAAGTCCCAAGCAAGTAGAATCTGACTCCATACTCTTATGATCTAAGTTGAGAGCTCAATGGGTTCATATTGGTGTTTCTATTACAAAGTCTGTCTCTGTCTTTTTTAATAGCCAGTCGCAAAGCTCCATCTGTCTTTCCCCTGGCACCCAAATGTGGACAGGAAACCTCCTCCAAAATAGCTCTGGGCTGCCTGGTGTCAGGCTACTTCCCTAAGCCTGTGGAAGTGACATGGAATTCAGGAGCCATCTCCAGTGGAATCCAGACTTATCCCTCTGTTCTCCAGTCCTCAGGACTCTACACCTCAAGCAGTCAATTGACAGTTCCTACAGATGCTTTGAACAGCCAATCATACACCTGCAATGTGGTCCACCAAGCCACATCCACCAAGATTAACAAGAAAGTTGGTGAGAAGGAAGGGGAATGAATACAGGGCAGAGGGTGGACATTTATGGTTTTAGAGATCTGTGGGGATGGGAGAGGATAAAGATGGGGCAGCAAAAGTTACATGTGGTTAAAAAAAAAAGTCTTCAGACTGGGGGAAAGATTGATCTGGGAGAGGTAGAGAAGCTATATAGAGACTAAGGAGATCCTATAAAATTGTGCTTCCTCCTGTCCTGGGGGAAGTTCTTTATGTATAGGAAGAATGAATTTAATATAATTCTAGATCCTATAATAATAATGATGATAATAGCTAACATTTATAAAGCACTTAACTATGTTCCAGGCACTATGCTTAGTGCTTTACAATTATTTTCTCATTTGAGCCTCATGGTCACCCTGCAAGGTAGGTGCTATTATTATCCTCATTTTACAGATGAAGAAACTGGAGCAAAAAGAAGCTAAGTGACTTGCACAAGGTCACACAGCTAGTAAGTATCTGAGGCCAGATGTGAACTCAGGTCTTCTTGACTCCAGGCCCAGGGTCTAATCTACTGTGCCATTAGCTGCCTAGCTACCTGGGAGAGAAAATAATTTCTTGGGCTACAAATCTATGAGTTTCGGTGATCTGGCTTCAGGATGAAAAGACAGTTCTTTTATAGACAATTACTTTGACAGACATCTACACTCATATAGAAATGACTAAAAATGAGGGAGGTTGAGTAGCAAGTCAGAACTCTTTGAAAATTCAGTCTGATGGTCCTAATGTTTAGATTGGAAATACTAACTCTAGACTTAAGTACAAAACCAGTATAAGAAACATATATAAGCTATTTATCTACCCTTTTCTTTTTCAGAAATCAGTGATTCCTCAAATTCCTGCAAATGCCAAGGTATTGGTGCAGGGAAGGGGGGAGTAGGGGTGTTCCGACTGCCTCCATGGACCTGCTAAGCACTGAGCAGGAAACCAATCAGGGTTGCCAGGGCAATAGTGGGGAAGAGCTGGAATCCCAGGGCAAGCAGGTTCTTGGGAACAAGAACACGCGGTTGGTTAAACGTCTCCTATGATATTGGGGGACAAGAATGAAACAAAGGCATCTTTGGAGTAAAGCCTATAGAAGAACCCTTAGGAAAGATATTGGGATTTTCCAACAAATGGCCATGACTGCAGAGTGGCTATGACCCCTACACATCAAGGGAGAACTCTTAAAGTCCAGTCTGAGAGAATCGCTGTATCCAAAAAAGACCTGAAGTTTTTAATGGACTTTATGTTCATTAAATGGACTAATATAAATGCTCATTGTGATATGACAGCTACCAAACCAGTGCAATCTCAGGATACATTGAAAGGCAGCCCAGGACCAGGGAGGTGGTAGTCTCACTGTGTTCTACCTAGGCAGATCACCTTTGGAGTACTGAACACAGATTCAGTTTTTGTTACCACATTTTAGTAAGAATAATGACAAGGTACTATTGTTACCACAGTGGTAAAGGAACTCTGTTATGTCATATGAGAAAGGGATAAAGGAACAGGGAATATTTATCTCAGAGAAAATGCTTGCAGGATGGGGGAAGAGGGGAGAAAGAGTATGATCGTTATATGATATGCAGCTATTTGAAGGGCTGTCACATGTGGAAAAGGAATTAGCCTTGTTCTGCTTAGTCCAAGAAGGCAAAATTGAGGAGCTATGGTCAAAAATTGTGAAGAGTTTAATTTAGTCTGGCTATGAGGAGAAACTTCCTAATAGGGCTATCCAAAAGTAGAATGGATGCTTCAGGTGGAATTGGGCTCCCCCTCGCTGAGATTCTTCAGGCAAAGGCTAGATGATCTTTCTTTAAGTGTGGTACAAAGGGAATTCTTGTTGGGGAGCTTATTGGACTCTGAGGTCCCTTATAAATCAGATTCTGTAGTTCTAGGAGAATGAGATGAGCATGCAGGTAGAGTTTGGGGACAAGTATGGAAAGTTTGAATGATGGACTAAGGGTCCCCCAAAACAGTCTGAGCACATTATACTTTGGGCCCTGGAAAGTTGGTGACTAACATCTGTTTTCTTTCAGCATGTGATGTCAGTGGACCTTCTGTATTCCTCTTCCCTCCAAACCCTAAGGACACACTCACAACCTCAGGAGTCCCTAAAATCACCTGTAAGGTGATTGATGTGAGTGATTCGTCAGAGGTTCGTATTACCTGGTTGAAAGGTGATAACATAATTGACAGTCCTAAACCAAAACGGGACAGGCTAAACAATGGCACCTTTCAAGTGGTCAGCACTATCCCTGTAGAACACCGAGAATGGCTGAATGGCATGGCGTACACCTGCAAAGTTGAAAACGACGAATTACCATCTCCTGAGAAAAAAACCATCTCCCACCCTAAGGGTAAGAAGACTGGACTTCTTGGAGCCACAAATGAGTTTAAGCCTGCCCTTAGCCCTAAAAACTTCTTCTAAAGAGGTCAGGGACTCCATTACTCCAAAGAAATTGCAACTTACCCCAACTTTAGGCTGTAGTAGAAAGAGAACTACGAGATTTGTCATATGATCTGGTTTCAATTTCTCTTTCTATCACTTCCTAGCTGTGTGACCTAGGCCTCATTTAGTTCATCTGTAAAATTAGGTCCTTTCCAACGTTCCAGTCCTGTGATCTCATGAAGTTCTTCCCCTAATACTCCTAAGCACAAAGTGCTGAGAGGTACAAATGAATCTTTCAGTTTTCTAAATAGGGGCACTGAACTTCAGGAAGATAAGTTTCTTAGCCTCACAGATTGTCAAATCTACATGTCCTCACTCCCAGATAAGAGTTTTTATCTCTAGAAACCATAGCCTTTTACAGGCTCTAGGCAGGGAAGAATTTATCCAGTGATGTACCGAGAACCAGTAAAGAATGAGATAGACAAAAGACAAATTGAAATTTAAGAAAAACTTCCAAGTAGGAAGAGTGTGGTGATGTTTAGGGGGAGGGAGGAGGAGAGGAAGACCTTTATCTTTTTGCATGGAAAACTACTAAATCAAGTTATACTTACTCCTTGCTTCCAATGTTTCTCCATTAGTCAAAACACCCTAAGTCTCTCTCTTCATAAGCCTGGTTTCAGGGGGGAATAATGTTTGATCAGGACAGAGTAAGGTCAGGATTCCTTTGTGGGAGAGTTTGCCCCTATGACCAGGGGAAAATGTGTCTTCAGTGGGTAAGAAAGCAAAGAAAGTATTTTTAAAAAAAGTCAATACTCACAATTCCAAAGTAAAGGAAACTAAAATTAGAGGAAGAGTCAAGGAAAAAGATGGTGTAACTAGCAGGGAGCTCAATAAGGAACATAAATAGGAAGAGAATTTGTTTTCTGGGGAGGGAAAAGAGAGTTATGTGATGATATCTGAGTCCCTTTAGCTCCAGAGTCTGTTAATCTACAATACTATAGCAGAGAGACCCAGCCTTCCCAGGGTAACGCTCACATTTTCTCCTCTTTCCAAAGGTGACAAAAAGAAGCCTGATGTGTATGTCTTTGCCCCACATCCTGAGGAGTTGAAGCATAAAGACACTGTTAGTATTACCTGCCTCGTACAAAATTTCTTCCCTGACGAAGTTGTTGTTGAATGGCAATGCAACAACAATCGGGAATGTGAAGAGAATCATTCCACCACCCAAACCGTGAAGGAAAATGGCACCTTCTTTCTCTACAGCAAGCTCAATGTGAAGAAAAGAAAATGGCAAGAGAATAACTCCTACACCTGCGTGGTGCTACACGAGGCCCTTCCGAACCACTATACTGAGAGGACAATCTCTGCATCCCCGGGTAAATGAGAAAGCAAAGAGAATCTCACACACACACACACACACACACACACACACACACACACACACACACATTCTCGCACGCACACACACATTCACACATACGCATTTCCCATCCCCTCCTCCAGCGATAGCCAGTTTGGAGGATCTCCCTGTCTACTTCTTTCCTTATCCCAATTCCCCACCATGGGGCCTTCCCTCCTTCACATTTTCTCGAGTCTGGGGATGGAAGCCCCACATGCAAATTGTAAATGTAAACTTCCCATTATCCTCAAGCAAAACAATAAAACACCCAGCACCATATCTGGAATCCCTCTGACTGGACTGGTTCTTTCTGGAACTGACTCCTGGGAAAGTATTAAGAAAGGGGAAGCATTGTCCAATCCTGCAGCTGGCACCAATATCAGTAGTCGTGGTAATCAAGGAACACAGTCCAAAAATCTCTTCCTCACCAAAAGAGAGAGAGAGAGAGAGAGAGAGAGAGAGAGAGAGAGAGAGAGAGAGCGCAAGGAAGAGTTGACCTCGTATCTCAGCCCACTATACTTCAGCAAGGGGTCTTTTGGTGTAAAAAGGACCTGCATGGAGTCTATCACTACTGCCACCCAGGGGTTCATGTTATGAATAACACAGGGCTGCAAACAAAGAGTGATAGCAATTTAATATACTAGTGCTAAGTACAACATGCATCCATGAGGATTTGATTAGGGAACATTCTGTGTGTCAAAGATAAAAGGTATAAGATGTCACTTACCCTAGCCCAGAGGGACATGCAGACAGTGAGCCATTCCCCTATCCTCATGGTTTCCATCATATCTGCTTCACTCCACCTCTAGGAATTGGGCCCAGTGGTTTACAAAGCCATGAGGGGAGGTGCTCTGGAATGACTAAAGGGGCTCCCAAAAAAATTATGACCTCCCAATTTTATTGTACATGAACATGAATTAGGATAATGTGTCCTTGCGAGGCCAGTGAGTTTATAAGTATGACTATAAATTTATGTGTCTGTTAAGTCTGTGTGTGTGTGTGTATGTATAAATATGTTTACCATTATATAGATAAGATTTAGGTATTTGAATGAATTTTTTTCAAAGTTTTAGCTATATAGACTAATACTTATTGTGTGACTGTGTGAATGTGCTTTTTCATCAATTAGGATGTGAATTTATGTCTTTCTTTACATTTGTGTGAAATGCCTTCTCTACGTGGGACAAGTAATCCATCTCCTCTCACCAGGCCAGCTGTGGCCCCAATTTTCTTTTTTCCCTCAATGAAATAACTCACTCTTCTCTCCACACTCAGACATCCCACACATGGATAAAAAAAAATAGTTGTGAGAAGATGTACTAATTACAGTGTATTAATGTACAATTCACGTTTACTAGTTATACTCAGCTTTCACCCTCATGCTGAACATGCTTTGTTACCTCTACAAATTCATGAAGACTATGAGATGACTGATCCCAGCCTGAAGTCCTCTCAATTCCTCTCACCTGTTCAATATTCTTCCGTGCCCAATTCACCCCCTCAAAAACACACATACACACACATGCCATACCTTATACACAAGTTGGACTCACACATGAATCATAAACACAGTCACTCATACTTAGATACAAACACTGTCTCACACACACGCTTATTCACACACAGGGAGATGAGCACATGTGTACATGCTGACCAAAACTTATTACCCTTGTGCACTCCAAAATAGAATAAAATCAGGATGGACAACAGTCAGTGATGAAAATAGTAACAAACTCACTTGAAAACATACCAGTTCATATGCAATATTGTATATTCTCACTCACACGAATCCCCAAAATTAAAAGATACACAATATACATGATTGCTCAAGCTACAACACAGAATATGTGGATGCATTCTCACATACACTTGTTCTTATAATCAGCAGTCTCATATGCACTCAAAATAGAAACACATCTACTTTGAAAATTATACTTATATACTCAAAATTATCCTCACATTCATGTTCACGCCAATACACACAGACAATTCAAAATTTTTCTCATAATCATACAATCAAACATATAGACAGCCACACTCACATATTCATTCGTTCTCCTCTTTCACTTAAACTTGGAATTGTACCAACTCTGACAGACACAAACACACTTATGTTCGTAGTAAGATACTCATACATGTTCACATTTATCCACAATCAGACTCTAATGCTCAGTCATACACATACACTCACTTTCAAAATCAGATGTTCACCTTTCAAGTCAATTCAGTTCTACAAACATTTATTAAGCACATACCATATGCAAAATACACATACACATATTCATGTACTTTGGGGCTCAAAAAATAATGACCCTATATCTCCTATCCTTCCTGATGGCTCCACACAAGGCTATATATCCAGAGTAATGTCCAGTTTTTCCCAGTGACATCATAAAAGTGTAGCATCTCTTAAGGGGAGGATGTTCAAGGGACATGCTAGCAAGGCTGCCTCACATAAGAACTTTCTGGAACTGTAGTCGTGCCACTCAGCAGCAGCTATTCTGGAATAGACTCATATTCAGATTGACATTCCAAGCCATCAACCAAACTCCAGTCCTAGCCTCCAAAAGGACAAGTAAAGAACAGGAAAAAATAGGAGTGACTAGATCAAGGTCTAGGCAAGATCTTTGGTATTGACCCTTGGAAGAACTCAGTTAGAATGAGCAACAAGAGAAGAAGCGAAAATGAAGGATAGAGTCACAACTCACTTAGAGGGAGGAGGGATCAGCATGTTCCCTAGACATGCCTTGAATAGTCCAGTGAGGATAAGAAGAGACCCTGAAAATGCATCTCTATTTCTTTCAAAGAAACAGGATTACTCCTAAGAGGATTGCCACAGTTGAAGGATCTTGGATGTCGCCTCCTAAGAAGAGCTTATAGAGATACCAGTAGGCAAGAGATCAATGGGGAACCAAGAAGTCAAAACACACCCCATAAAAATAGCTTACACAGAAACTTTTCCTCATGCAACCCTATCTCCATTTCCAATCCACCTTTCCCAATTCTAATCCTCATTAGCATGTACTTTATTTTCATCTCACACACACAAACCTTTGCCATTCTAATCCCTAATTCCTCAATCCCCTCTCTTAGACAATGGAAGGAGTAAAAGTCATAGGAGAGCCAAATGTGATGTCTTAAGGGTTTCCCTGCCCTTAGCCCTCCACAGAGAGAAATCATCAACTTATTTCTTCCCCTTTACCTCTCCACAGAATTGATACCAGATGAGAACTGTGCTGAGACCAGGGATGGAGAGCTGGATGGGCTGTGGACCACAATATCTATCTTCATCACTCTCTTCCTCCTCAGTGTGTGCTACAGTGCCACTGTCACCCTGTTCAAGGTCAGAGAGTCCTATGTATGATTTCTCCCTTTATTCTTCCTTTGCCAATGTGCCCTCCTATTGTACTACTCATACCCTCCCACAGAGATTAAGATACAAGGAGGGTTCTGGGCTTTCAACTCAGAGAGAATAAACCAGATTCCACTGGTCAACCCTATCCTGACCCCGTACTGAGGACTTCACTAATCTCCAAGGAAAGAAGAACCCCTTTCATCTTCCCTCGGTCCCTCACACTTATCCCCTCTACTATCCTGATTCTTATGGAAGGAGCGTGACTGATAAGGGAGAAAGATAGTGGCTAGGCAGCCCTGTCCTAAAATCTTGACTTTCATTCCATCCTTTTTGTGTTATTCTGCAGGTAAAGTGGATCTTCTCCTCTGTGATGGAGTTAAAGCAGCCAATGATCCCTGACTATAGAAACATGATGGGGCAAGGAGCCTAAGAGAAGGTGCTGTACCCCCATCTCCCAGAGACAAACCTTAAATGGAGTGAGAACCTCACCATGATTTCCTCAAAACAGCAGAAACATCTCCACATCACAATCAAATCCAGCTTCTCCCTGAACACAGACATTCACCAATGTCCCTTAGCATGGGACAAAGACTCTTTTGCCTCTTCTGTTGCCCAAGACCAGCTCAGGAAAATGGAACCTCTGTCTAACAAAGGTCTCATTCTTCATGTATTGCCTTTCTCTCACAGGATCAGCAGAATAGGGATGCAAAGGAAAAGAGAATAGAAGCTACATGGCCTATAGTGAAGGCTGAGGAAAGACCAGCATCATCGTTGTGTAAGACATAATTGATAGATGTACTCATATTCATTCAAATCAAACAGAATTTCTCCTTTGGTACTTCTTTTATGGAATATGTGTGGTTGGCATTTTCCAGGCCTGTGTCCACACCCATCCACTGCCCCAGCTCACTAAAAGCTAGGCTGTAGTGCCATGCTCCTTTCTTTAGTGTTAACTGGAAATGACCACATCTGTGCTTTTATTGCTCCATAAGTAGTTGTAAGATAGTAACATTGTAAAAGTTATCTTCATTGCTAATGTGTAAATTATGTCTGCATGAGATGGGAGTTGAGGGAATGTTTAGAGGTTGAAGCTAGGCCAGGATATGTGTGAAATATATTCCCAGTACAGGAAATAGGTCCCAAACTATCACTCCCCAGAATTTTGGTGGGAGATGGACAAGTGGGTGCCAGGAAGAAAAGAAAGTTAGACTAAGTGATGACATAGATTGGTCACAAATTAGGCCCAGAGATACTTTGGTTGACTGATCTTAAGTCAAAGCCAAAATTAGCTCAAAGGGAAGAAACCTCTTATTGGATTAGCAAAATATTGGGATAAAAATTCTATTGTCTTTTATTTCTCAGTTTTCTCTTTAAGATAATTCCCCAAGAATTAGTTAATTAGTAAAATAATTCTTTAAAAATTTGACCTTGATTTTGGGCTAAAGAAGCATTTTTCTGTAACTAAAACAGGAAATTTGCATGTAGTTGATACTTAATAGATGTTGAATGAATGAATGAATCTGAGTTTCCCAGGATATAAGAAAAGGCTGGTTGCAGCAGGAAATAATTATTAGAAATTCCACCAATCACCCCAGCAAGTCTGAGGTTCTAGAGTTTGTAAGGAAAGAGATTTGGTAGGGGTAGGGCCAAAGTTGAGGGGAAGAGTGGCAATGAAAGTTGAAAGAAAGAAAGAAAGAAAGAAGAAAGGAAGAAAGAAAGAAAGAAAGAAAGAAAGAAAGAAAGAAAGAAAGAAAGAAAGAAGAAAGAAAGAAAGAAAGAAAGAAAGAAAGAAAGAAAGGAAGAAGAAAGAAAGAAAGAAAGGAAGAAAAGAAAGAAAGAAAGAAGAAGAAAGAAAGAAAGAAAGAAAGAAAGAAAGAAAGAAAGAAAGAAAGAAAGAAAGAAAGAAAGAAAGAAAGACAGACAGACACTGGTAACAATGTCAGAGAGAGAAGAAGGCATAAGCTAGAGATAATATGAAAGTAAAATTGACAACACATTGTCAATGTAAACTTGTAAATACATCAGGTGTAGAGGGTTAAAAGTCAAGGATGTGAGATTGTGAGCCTGGGTGACTGGGAGAATGTTCTTTATGATTTTATAACAGTCCCACAAGTCTCTTAGAATCTTTACTACCTCCTGGGAGTAGTTAGAGTGATGGGTTACTGTTCTATGGTCTAAGTGTTTGTCAGTGCAGGTTAATGAGTCTTTTGTGTTTTAAGCTTTTCTTTCACAGTACAGGAAATAGCTGTCCTATACCTGATATATACTACTTTGTACACTGAGTAACTTTTCTAAAAGGGATTTTGTTGATACCTTTTGGGGAAACTCTAGACATGAGCCATACCTAAGTTTTGTTTTAAGAGATTTTTTTTAATTGGGATACACCAAAAATAAATAATAACTGGGACCCTGTTTGTGAATAAGAATTAACAACAGGAGCCCAATGAGTCTCTTCATTTCCGACTATGTAGCAAGACTGCTCCATCATACTGTCAGGAACCTCATCGATGGGAAACCTCATAACCCTGCAAGATCACATCAGCCTGTGTACTGAGGCTTCATTAATACCCTCTGTCCCGGGTCCCTTCTCCTTGGAAGAGAGAGTAAAGAGTTCCTCCAAAAGCCTCAAGTTGAAGGCCCGTGCTAGCCATTGCCTCATTTCCTACCCAACTGCACTTCTTTGAACTTCATTGTGTCCTCTAGCTGGGTATCTTCATCCTGCTCCCATTTTCAACTTCCTTTTGTACTGTCTTCCCCATTAGGTTATGAGTTCCTTGAGGGAAGAGGCTATCTTTTTCTTTTCATGTTTGTATCTCCAGTGCTTAGCACTGGACTTAGCCTTACTGGACTGACAAAATCAAGAGAAAAACATGAATTCCCTCTCTTTAAAGTCCTTTGAAGCTCCTTCAGCACTGAATCTGGTCTACATGAGTCCAGTTAAAGAACTTCATGTGGGAAAAGGATGCTCCCCAAGACATAGGTAAAAAATATAAATATATTCTACATGTTACATTTATGTGTATGTAACACAATAAAAAACATTTGGTAGTGATTCAAGGAACAAAATTCTTTCAGATATATAAGTTGAAACAAAATGAATGGGATGAATAAATACAAAATGAAAATTAAAGTTGACAATAAATACATTAAAGGACTTTTTAAAAATCATTTAAGTTTTGTCATTGTTGTTAATGACTAGAAGAGTTGAAATAGTAATGAGGGGAATTGTAAAGTGACATTTAAGCAATTAAAAGTCAAACAAAAATCAATGAATGATAAAAATAAAATTGAAGAACAGGCCTAGGATTGATATAACAGAATTTTTAAAAGAATCTAATGAATGTCAGCATAAAATAACAAATTTGGAAAAACAAAGGGAGAAGTGCATGTATAAAATTAATTGGTATTCCAGCAAGCACTGAAAAAGAAAGAAAGCTATGGGTCATATTTGAAGATAAAGAAAACTTGATCAAGTAGAAAAGATAAGACCTAGTATGAATAAATTCAAATTAGTATTCATGAAGACATAATTGGTAAGCTACAAAATTACAAAAACAAATTTAAAGTAGTTCTCCAATATTCAACATAAGAAAAAGAATTTTTTTTAAGTATTTACTCAAGTAACATCAGAATTTTCAAAATTACAGAAGATCACAGAAGGACAACAAAAATACACTAAAGTATTTTTTCAATGATTGGGTCCCCAATCACTGACATGACCATATAGAAGTGACCATATTGTTTGAAAACAGAAGACTGTACTTCAAAAACTAAAAAAATTTATAAACAAAAATGTACAAGTAATGAGATACCTACAGCTGTAAAGGAAGAATTTTCAAGCTGACTGAATAAATTATTAACAAAAATAATAACACACTTTACTTCTTACTAGTTATAATTAATATTTAATACATACATAAATGCATATTTTATAAGTGGAATGTGAATGAAGATAGAGAATAGAACCATGATTGCATTAGTATAGGGAACTCCTAGATGAAGAAACTGCTTACCAATTCAAATAAGCATCTCTTCTATGGCTTGTAGTCTTAGAGAATTACTTAGGTCATTAAGAGGTTACCTGGGCATTTATTTCATATCTGTAAAATAAGAAGGTTGGACCAGATTGCTCTCAGATATCTTTTAGTTCTGCATCAATGATCCTATGATACTATGGTCCTTGCTGTTTATAATAAACACATTTAATGGCAAAAAAAAGTATACAGATTAATATAAGGTATGTAGACTAATGTAAGATTGTACTAAAATATATAAAAGCAAACGCAAGCTTAAAAATATAGGAGTGGCATTAATTTTATCTGAATTAAGTAGAATTCAAACTAGAAATTAGATTTTCCCAAGGCCACATAGCTAGTTAGTGTATGTCAGATGGAATAACCTAGGTCATGCTGACTCTGAAGCTGGCTCTCAATCTACTATCCTATGTTGCCTCTCATATATAAGAATGAATTATATAATTTTTTTCTAAATCTAATTGAAACCATCAAATGAGAATTTGTGTTAAAACGTGTATTACAATTAACATAAAAGGTAACACACAAATATATCCTTATTTACCAACAAAAAGACATTTAACACAGATGAGAACTAATTACAACAAAAAGGAAGAGAAAGCGAAAAGAACTGGTAAGCCAAAAGACAAAACTGTTATTTATAAAAAGAAGGTTAAACCACAGATACCTAAGGATTATCAATATAAAAATAGAAATAGAACTTGCTTTATAACTAGTTTCAAAAGTTGAGATAGAGAGGTAGAGTGGCACTAGAATTGGAGTAAGGAAAGGCTGGGCTCAAATTCCACCACACACCTACTATTTGTGTGTTCCTAGGTAAGTCATTTAACTGTATCTCAGTTTCCTCACATTTCAGATACGAGCACTGGACTCAATGGTCTCTCATATTCCCACTGGTTCTAAAATAGGTAGCCCTTTTTCTAGGCAACTCTGAGAAAAAGTAAAGAAAATATTAGAAAACAAATCCACATTTTACTCATAATTAACATTGAATTTTCCTATTAAAAGAAAAAGAGTTGTAGAATGGCTCAAGAAATAAAAATTCATCATGGTGCAGTGGGAAGGTCACTGAATTTAGAATCATAAGACCTTGGTTCAAATCTCATCTGTGCCACTTACTAAATCTGTGACCTTTGCTGAGTTACTTAAGTTTCTTGAGCCTCCATTTCCTCATCTGTTGGACTAGATTGCCTCTGAAGTATTTTCTGGTTCTATGTCAATGATTCTGTGACATAAAACTGCTCCTTACTATTTGCAATAAACACTTTTAATGCCAAAAAAAACCTATCTAGATTAATATTAAGAGGTTGGACATACATACGGACAAATAAAATTTTAAAAATAGGAGTGACATTAATATTATCTGATGAAATGTAATTCAGACTAGGAAACATTGAAAGAGAGAGAAGGGCATCATATAATGGTGAAAGTCAAAAATGGCAAATATGTAATGATACAGAAATTACACCATTAAATTCATAAAAGGTAGGTTAACTGTAATAGAGAATCAGGAAAATCTGGGTTTAAGATCTTCCTCTAACATATACGTCAATCCACCTCTTAGTCCCCCAAGCAAGATTATAAACTGCAAAACATTTGTTGATCTGTGTTGGTAGAGAGGGTTTCCTCACAAGAACTTCCTACTTCATGAAATCACAAATCCAACCCCTATGCTCCCCACAAAAAAAAACATAAGAAAAGTAAATAAAAACATAATATTAAGATACTTTAATACTCCATTATCAATGATAAATCAAATAAGAAAAATTAATAATAAATAAATCAAAGATCTGAAATGCTTATA